TCCTGTGAGGGCCGCTGTCACGCGTGGCTGTCGCTGCTGCTTGCGGCGTTGTGCCCAGGGGAAGGTTCATGTGCTTGCGTGGGTTCTTTTTTTGTTTTGTTTTGTTTTTTGCGGGGAGGGGGAAGGGAGGAAAAAAGAAAAGCGCTGCTTTCGTTGTTTGGCAAGGCTGCGCTTTGGGGCTGGATGGCTGGCCGTTGCCGTCTCCGCGGGGGCTGAGGGGGACGGGCTGGCAAAGTGCTCTCGGTCTTGTAACTAACAAAAAAAAAAAAGACTTAATAATGATTTTATTAATTATTCTGGCTGCCAGCTAAATCAGACACACGGGATTGGCGAACCTTCCGGCTGCTAGGAGCAGCGGCAAGAGGAGGAGTGTTGCCAGCATGAGGACGAGCAAGGGATGGCGATGCTTGCAACCTATGGCTGAACTGGAGGTAATTCACTAGCGGATCAATAACCCGCCGAAGGTTCTTGAAAGGCTGCGATATTGTACGAAGCCTGATTAGCGATTAACGCTCTTAAATGGTTGAATGCTGCGCTCGCTTAACGGTGCCGAATAAACGTTCCGATTTGTGTCCTGACTAGTTGTTGGCTGCTTACAGTCAAAAAAAAAGGGGGGGGGGAGAAAAGAAAGCAAATGCCCCCTGAGGATTATATTTTAAAAACATCAGCATCTAACGAGGAAGGGGGTTAGAGGAGCCCAGTTGGTTGTCTTTATGATTTGCAATGCAGCTATGCTTTTTCAGGTCGACTTGGGGCCTTGTAAGAACAAGCGTATTTGTAGACAATGAGAATGAATTTAGCGATGATCGATGTAAACAGGCAAAACTGTCATTTCTTAATGCACAGTTATTAACTAATGTAACCTGTCGAGCTGAGCCAAAAAGTACATTTGAAAAGGTATAGAAACGAGACAAAAATATTTTGCGAGCAACGAGCCTGAAGCTCTCCACTATATAACTTTTAACAAAATTCAGCTTAAACCATATTTCTGTGCAGCCGGGGTCGGGGGGGACGGGACTGAGTTTAGGATTTTTACGTGTGTGTTTCCAAAGGCCCACGAGCTCAGTTTATGAGCCTCCTGCTTGAGCTTTGTGCTTGGCATGGGGAGAAGAACGCTTGCTGCAGCTTCCCTTCTCCTTTATCACCCGACTGTAACCGTGAGAGAAAGGAGGCTAAAATGTCACAGACTTCCATAAAGTCATGTTGTAAAAAGTGATAAAAAATTGATTTACATAGCAGATGCCTAGTTTCCAGGCATTTTGACATACAATTATCAAATGTCCTAAAAATCATTAAAATCATCATCTAACATGTGGGCTGTAATCATCCGGGTAAATGCACTCCTTAGTATAGATTTTTTTTTGAAGTATTAATATTGTGCATACTAGATTTGATCGGTTTATCTGTAAATACCCTCATTTAATATATTTCAAAATGTCTCCCTTTTCCTTCTTTTTATGCCAGTAACCATTCTGTGTTTTGGCTTTATTTTAAATCACACTCACAAATAATTGAAATGGCAATGAAATCAGATTGACCATCTAATAAAGATTTAAAAATAAAATGACTTGAGTCTGTTCTTAGTGAGGTAAAATATGTATTGTAATAACTCTCATAGGTGGCTCTCACAACAAAGGACTACATGAATAATGTGATTAACATTTTAATTTCCCTTGATATATATTATAACAATATATAACAACGTATACTTACGATATCACTAAACCTGTAACCGAAGAATAAAGAAATTTTAACAGTGGAAGATTCTGAAAGTAGAGAAAAACTACCCCGCATATTTTGAACTTTCCTGTTCTTTTGGCAGCTCCTAACTTTTCCTCATGCAGCTTAAAAGACAGGCCACACGATCAAAATGTTCTTGGTATTTTCATAGTAAAATAAAGATTATGTCTTTTATTTATTTTTTGTACAGCACCTAGCAAAATGGAAACCCAGTCCCTAAGTTGGGCCTGACCACTGCAGTAATACAAATAATATTTAATAAACAGCTTTTACAAGCATACGGTCCGGTTAGCTGTTGCATTTTGAAGTTCTTTTTGGAGATGAAATGTAATGATTTGATTTTCTTTTGTTTTGTTTGGTTATGGCTTGACATGTAAGTCACACTGGCTGTTAAGAGGAGATGTGGAATTATTTTTGCTTGGTGATGCATGTTAAAATGAGTTTTAGGAATTCCTGCAGCAGTAATAAATATTCCATTTTTTTAGACATATTCTAACAGGTTTTTTTCCTGTTGCAGTTCAACGGAGGATGTTTTTGTTATGTACACAAGCATAGAACAATATTCTCATTTCTGATTTTTTACAATCTGAAATGCTGTGCTTTCAAATGATTGCTTTTATTTTGTGTATTCTTGTCACTACATTATTCTTAGGTAAAAATATATCAGTTATGCTTTGTCCCTGAGATTTAATGCTTTTTATGGGATATTTCTACTGTGAAAGTTCTACATTAAAAAAAAGAAGTAATAAAATTATTTTCTTCAGATTTAATTGTTGGAGTAAGAAGAAAATCTCATAGATTATTTTAATCTGATAATTTGTTTGTTTTTACATCTGATAGTTTCTTGATTTACCTACTCTTTTTGCAGATATTAAGTGTCCTGTTGATTTATTTTGTGGCTTTCAAATGTGAATATTCACAAATGTTCACTAAAAATAATTTTGTAGGAAAGCAAGAATAAAGTTTAATAGATTTTACTGTAAATAAAGTTGACATGTAAAATTTACAGTCAGGTATGGATTAAGCCCAAGACTTTTTTTTTTTTTTGGCACTACTTGCCACCTTGTCCTGATTTTTTCTTTTCTTTTTTTTTACTTACCCTAAAGGTGCTCAGCACTCTTAAGTATCCAAAGACAGGTATGTTAGATGTCTTGAATTACTGGTCACTTTTGGGAAATAGGAACATTGTATCTTTGATTTCTTCTCTTTTTTTTATATATATAATCTTGATACTTTTTTATTATTAATCTCTGTCTGCCATAATACTTTATATGTTATCACTGTAGTTTAATTTCTTGCAACCAAAAAGTACGTTACTTGAAACTTAATGGCTGTACTTCCTGGTATGAAAATGCTTTCTGTTTTTTTTTTTTTTTTTTTTAAATCTGGACTTCAGGGTTTGTAAATTAAGTGACAACGCAAAACAATTTAGCTTCATACAACTTTTTCTTAAATAGTTGAAGCACTATAATTGGGAGAGTGGTTGTTTGGGAGCAACATAAAAAAGGAAAGTTGAGTCAGCGGGGTTTTTTTTTTTCTTCCCCTCAAAATGGAAGTATCACCAGTTACTTGCCTTTTTGTGGCTGTTGTTTCTCATTCTCAAAACTAACAATTTTTCAGGAGGAGAGAGTGGTGTTACTTACGAAGCCAGCCGACTTTTGTGTGTGTGTGTGTGTGTGTATTAAATATCTGCAAGAAGGACCAACTGTGCCAAAATACAATAGTATTGCAAGTAAATTCCTTCCACAATTTTAAACAATAATTTTCAAGATAATTAAATAGCTTCACATCAAAATGCTCATGAATGCGCACATGTTTGCACTTTGTGCCAAGAATCTATTCCTTCTCTACTCTAAATTGGTAACTTAGCTGATCTTTCAACTATAGAGTTTCTTACCAAGTGCTTAGCCAATGTGTGTTCTACCCATATCAGATATTGAATACTGAACTGTATGCTTTTGTCCTTTACTTTATTTCCTTTATCAATACACCAATTACCACAGAACTCTGATCCAGTCTTCCCACTTAAACTGAAACATGATATTTCATCTTTCACTTTCTCCTGCCTGCTGATGAAAAAAATTCGTATTACCCAGACTACCATCAATATTGACAAATAAACATTTTTTTTTTAAAGCGCACAAATAGCTTAACCCCTGACAGACAAGTTTTTAAATATTCTCATTGTGTGTGGGTAGAAGAGTAGAGCAAAATTAAGTCACTTACAAGAACATAATTTATTTTTGAGTAAAAATAAATAATAAGCCTTGAACCTGCCATCAGGCTGGTCCAACTGGATGTCATTTATAGTTTGAGCAGCAAATGAGTCTAGATAAAATTCATCAGATAACTCTAACCACCCCTTTAGTCTGTTGTTACCAAAATAAACGTGAATTGTCCCTACCATGACATTCTTCTGGTTTCACTGTTAAATCTTTGAGTGAATATGAACAACTTCCATTATCAAGAGAAATTAAGAATTAGACATATGTAATAGCCTACTGAATAAAGGAATTCTGCTATTTTATTTAAGGTTTTCTTTCTTTTTTTAAGTTATGTAATTTGTGCTCCAATCTTTTGTAAAAGACTTTCAATTGAATTTACTAGATCGGTTTGACAGGACAACTTTGTATGCTGAATACATTCCCTAATTGTCCAAAGAAATTTAAGAAAAAGATTTAACTGCTGTACTTCATTGTTCGCTATTGCGCTCTTCTTTACAGAGAATCTTGCCTATTTGACGCGTTCAGTTTCACATCCGTTTGATGCCTCCAAGGCTATTTGAAAATTCTAAGGATTATGTTCTTTTATGCGTTGCTTTCAAAAAATTTATATACAGGGTGCATTTTAGAGATCTACTCCATAATGAAGATGGAGTAGAGAAAAAAGAAGTTTACTATGTCACTTTAGAGGCTGCCAGTTACTTTCTTAGGTCATTACTTCTAGAAAGCTTTTGAAAATATTTGCTGTTACCCTATCTGCTAGCAAAGATAATTCCTTCCAATTAAAATATGCTGATAAGAATTTTGTTAAGCAGGAGTCCTAATATTGCATTTTAAATCTAAGTGACAAATTTTGTTTAAATTGATAAAATCAATTACAAAGTTTATTAATAGACACGTTTTAATAATGTCTTTCAGTGACTATTTATCCTTCTGCTGCTTGAAATGAAAAGCTAGATTTCTGTTTCACTAAGATTGAGGGCCATTCGTGAGTTGGGGTTTGGTGTGTGATTTTTCAAAGGACAGTAGTAGCCTATTAGAAATGCAACTTTTAAAAACACAGATGAGAGGTTATTTGTCTAACTCTTCAGAATGGGACTGATTGATTATCAGTTGCTTTAGTATAGATTTGGAATTTTCTCGGAAGTAAATACAATGGATTATTATAGATTTACAACAATATAATAACTTGAAAGATTCTGTCATCAGGTATACAGTGTGAAAGACTTATTCATATGTAATTACCGGAAAGGTGGAAGGAAAAATATTTCAGTCTTTACAAATACCCATTATGCAATTCAGATAAAACCATGGTCATGAGAAGTATCAGAGAGACCTACCTAGGCAAGATATGATCAAAACAATGCTAGGTAAAATTTGATGTTGTTATATTCAAAATTCTCCACTGGAAGAAATGTTCATGCTCCTTCTGGGGTCCTAAATTAATATAAGAAAAAAAGCTAGATTCAATAAGCAGTAGTAAATCTTTTATGAAGACCCACTTGTAATACATCCTAACATTAAGATTACAGGAGTTTTTTTCTGGAACTCTTAACATGAAACCAATGACACAAACCAGTGATGCACCTTATTTTGGAATACTAAATTAATCTTTTCACCTTACTGCCAAAGAATTAAGAGTTCAGAGATAGATGAAAATAGTTAAGATGGGGGAAAAAAATAGGCTAATTATTCTAAGAACAAGCAAATGGAATACATTATTTGAAGGAGATAGATAATATCAAAAATACAGAATACAAAATACCTGCTAAGGAGAAGATGAATCAGGATCTTCTGAAAACTCCAGGATATAGTTCAAGAACAAAAATAGGTGAAAGATTCCAAATTAAAAACCACGTTTTTTTCTCCTATCACAAAATATAGTCATCCTGTCTTTACTTTCACCTCAGAAATCACTAAGGCAAAGATTTTAGCAGACTTCAGAAGAACTGACATTTATACAGATAAGAACGTCCAGCGATAGTACAAATACAGGATTAGATGGATCATTAGTCTGATGCAATACAGCATCGCTGTGTTGCTATCTTTACGGCAACGATCATTTTTTTTCCTGAGTGTTTCCTTTTAATGTTGTTTAACGTTTCATTTAGAGCTGGGAATTTCTATTTCTCTGTAGTAGACTTATCTGCTTTACCAAAAATAGTAATGATAAAGTGCAAGCAGTACCAAAATTTGCACTTACAGCAAAGATTTTAGTGCTTTTAGCATTGAGCCATTTGGCTGACAGTGCCTATATTGTGTAGCGTTATGTGATTTGTCAATCATCCACGAAATACATATCACTGAGATTCTGCTCTCCGTTTATTGTTCAGTCTTTTGAGAAAATCCTGAGCTGTTGATGCAGATTCCTTAATGTTTTGTATTCTTCTATAGCATACGCTTGGTGCCTTGAAAGGACTTTTTTTCTTTTTGAGTTTGCCTAGACCTACTGCAGCAATGTTTTGGTATGCCAAGCAGGCATGGTTTACTAACTGAGATATGAACTATGTAAGGTAGCTGCTGATTTAAAAGTCATTGAATCAATCAATCTCTCTTAATTTTACAGATTTTAGAGTACAGGAGACAGTAAGTGTGATTAGACCACAAATGACCCTTATACTAATATACCTAATATTGTACCTTGTACTAATGTACCTAACATTAACTTAAGATGGAGATTTGCATATATGCTTCTCTTTTAAAAGATTTTGCTCACTCTAGCCCAATTAATCTTGAGTTTTTCCATGCAGAATGGAGCAGCTTTAATAGTGGAGGCTAAGAAGAACCCTCTTTCAAGGATATCTACCCAGGTGGCTAGACCACTCTTAGGAGGCGCCAAAATACTGTTTTCCTCTTTCCCATGGAAGAATTTGAACTGAACTTGGACCTTCCACACACGCACCTGATTGGAAGAAAACTACGGAGTTGGTGGATAAAAGGCACAACTGCCATTTTGTTTGGGCCTAGTCTGGTAAGCCTGCTCTGCGAATGCTTAATGTCTGGGCCTTGCAAGACAGGGAGGGGATTTATGGATCCCAGGTTAGTTAGAGCAGGCAGTTCTGGACACAGTTAGAAGTCTTAGACACCCAAATACTTTTACAGTTCGAAAACTAAGTATCTACATTTTTCAACTTGGGTATCTAAAAATTATTTTATAGTTATACATATTCTCAGCCTATCACTGACAGGAGTTCATTCAACAAGATTAGCATACTACGAGATTGCGCGTGTGTGTTTTTTATTGAAGCTCCGTCATCAAGATCAAATAAAAAGAAGTAACTGAACTCGATCTTCAAGCATCAAGTCTCACTACTACTAAGTGCCTCTCAGTGGGCCAGTATAGGTAAAGCACTGAATCATGTTTGAACTCAATCAACTAATATAAAGAAACAAGATGTCCCATGAAGGCTAAATTGAGCTTTTCAAAAAATACCCAGGCATTTACTTTTACACGGTTCTAATTTTGGAGTTTGTTATTCTGGTCACAATCTAAATTAATTTAGTCTATATATAAGTTTTCTGTATATAAGTCTGAAAGTGCTTTAAAAGACAAATAACTGTGTAGGATTAATTTAACCTTCCACCTAAATACAACTACCTACAGTTTGAGTCACCTAATTAACATGCAAGTATTGCCAAACCCAAACATGAATATTTGAGGACTGGTCCTCCAAAATCCTTGCCTAAAAATACTCAGGTTCTTTTTATTTGTATGTTAGGTATTTATTTATGTATGTTAGGTTTGTATGTTAGGTACTTCAGAAAAAGTTTGGTGATGTTTTAAGTTTATCTGTTAGACATTAATATTAGAGATGAAAGCTGAGGTTTTCACAGTTTTATTTCTCCCAGATCTGAGTGACAAAAGTAAAACACCTCAGGCTGCAAGCTGAGAAGGAAAAATAGCAGAGATAAGAAATAATCCTATATAATCTAATACAATTCATAAAGATTGTTTAGGATCAGGAAGAACAAGGGGAGCTGTTCAATTCAGCTGCAAGAGGAAGTACCCATATGAAATCTGGGTAATCTATAGAAAATAATATACTGACTTTAAAAAAGGGTCGTAGGCATCTTGTTGGTCACACGTTCACCAAAACTTAGAATCTTTGGGACTCCGATGAAATCTTAAATTTCAACAGATAGTTAAGCTTAAGAGAATTCTGGAAAATTTGTTTCGTACAAACAAAAAAGAGAGTGGCCTGATAAACTACCAAAAATATTTCCTGCAGAGCCTGCCAGTTGGCAATTTTTGAGTATTGGTTTTGCTGTTTTTAAGGCATGAATAAGGAATGAAGTGAGAAAGTAGCAGATGAATCAACAGAAGTCAGGGTAAGTCACCTGTGCTTTAGCAAACTCCAGAACAAGACATAACGCCATTTAAAAATTGAAAGACCAAAAAAAAAAAAAAAATTGGACAGTCCTCTATTATCAGCTTTCCATCTTTCAGCTAAATGTCTCAGTTAAGGAAGAGTTGATTTATGCCAATATTCATAATCAGTAACTTAAGATCACAGAGGTTCCAACAGAAGTTCTAATATTGATGTTTCTGGTTACTTAAACATTACAGTAGTTTCTTAAGACCCAGCAGAACATTCCTTTTTGTCAGATTCTTGATAACAGTAACTCTTTGGCCTTTTCATTCATTAAAAGAATGACAAGAAAGGCATTTTTCCATGTGCATGTTCACATTTCCACTTCTTGACACCTTTACTAGGCAGTCTTAAAAGTAAGTTTTTAGGCCAGACTCAGACTTATCCCTCTGTTTTATTCCTCAGAACCACTACAGAGAAGCTATATGGAGATCAGAAAACATGAAAGGCACAAACCAATTATCTGAAACACAGAATTTCTATCCCCTGTAAAGACGTGAAGATCATAAGACCGTTTATTTTCTTCATCATAGTTATTATGTAAAAATTAGTTTCAAAGTAGTAAACATTCTAAAAATTAATCAGGAAGAGGTATTCTCCTACCTAATCCCTTTTTTTTAAAAAAAGCACTTCCAAAAATAAACTCTAAAAACATGCCAGCACCTCAACTCTCTGCTTATTCCAATGAAAGTCCTTTTCTTTTGAAATCCTTTTCAGGTCCTAAAGCAAGCAGTCGAAATTAGAAGTCCTAAATCACATTTCTTTCTTTGGATCTTTTAATCTAAACTACATAATTAAGTAAGAGAAGCAAACACTTCAGCTGAAATTGGCTTTTTGTTTTATGGTCCACTGCTCTCACTACATGCAATATTTTATCATATTAAAAGGTAAGTATAACTCTGAACTATGTTGCCCATGTAAATTCCCAACCCTCAATTTCAATTTGAAATTTTTTGGATTTCAAAAAAACCCAGCAACCTCAGATTCTTGTTCTCCCTGTAGCAGAACAGCATGTGCGGCACAAACCTAAATGCCTCTCAGTTCATTCATTGTTGGGTGTTCCTAGTATGATACACGACTTTCTACAGGAGCACAAGTAATGGAATATTTACAGACAAAAAAAAATTTCCAGTGTGCAGAAGGTAAGGAGTACTGGTTGCTGTGTTCCTCAATCTTGAATTATGTCAATACTCGTAAACTGAATAATACCAGAGCCTACTTTATTTCTGAGGCAAATTGCCAGGTCTGGCCCTGTCCATATTATTAAACTCTTTTAACTACCAAAACGGGCTGCATCTAAACTGCCAACTGGGGCTGCGCTAGCCCATGAACTATGCCAGAGACTGCTTGGGAGAAAGCTGGTTGGCCTGGGCCGAAAGCAGGGACTATGGGGACAATTTAATAGTGTAGGTAGCTGTGTTCAAGTGCCTAGTCCCGAGCCCTGGCACTGTTTAATTTGCTAGTATAGTCGTAGCCCTCGTGATTCACAACCAGCAATCTCAAGTAAAGGGATGTGCACTCAGAATGCACTTAAAACAAAAAGGTCGCCGTTGTCATTTACTTCTAAAAGGCAGATCTCAAGTCTTTCTACTGAGAATATGGACTGAGCCTGTTACTGTACATATCCAAAACAGATGTGCTTTTTAAGGAAGCTTTAGAGGCTGAGCTAAATCCTAGCTTGTTTGTAATAAACGCTAATACGTGTGAGTACTTTTTTGCCCAGCCTCCAAATTATTCGATCCCTCAGTTTGTTCAGCAAATAAAGACACAGCTCTGAAACGCTTGACATTTTTAATAAAAGGAGGACTTGAAGTTTGTGGTCTGGTTTTCCCTTGACCAGTGTATGATTTAGTAAAAATACTGACAGGTAATTATATATATCAAATATATACACCATATGTGGCATTTGATATATATCAAAATATTGCTATATAATTTGATACAGGTCTGTAAATATTGTTGTCAAGAATTTGGGGTGAGGATCTTAGGCTGAAGGAATACTGAATAGATAGAGCCCGTGATAGCTTGCATTTTCCTAGTCCTTCTAGTTGATGAAAATCCCATGACAACCTCAGATGTAGGGCACCTGAGATTCAAATAATTGATCCCACAAGCTTTTCAGGACCACATTACAGTTATTTGGAGAAGTAAGTGTCTCTTGTTGATGGAAAACAACATAAAACTGCTGAGAACTTGAAAGAAAACAATGGTACCTTAAATGGAGATAAACATAAATTAGCGGTTGTCAGGGACGTTCATAATATGTCTCATACCCAGTTCAGAACACTGTAAAAGTAGGTAGCTAAAGGCAGTAAAGATCTAGATTAGTTGTTTGCAACTAATCTATTTAACAGGATATTGCAAAGGAGATGATACAGTGATCAGATACTTTACCAGACCTTACTAGGAAGTGGAAGGTGAGTGCATGAAGACCACTGAAAAGAATCCTTAAATGGGAGGTGAGCTTAAAGCTTCTTACTGTCTTGTTCTTATCTGGTGAAAATAAGTCTATTGAGAGGAAACCTCAGTTCTAGAAAAAGTAATTGAAAACTGAGTTATTCATTTCTGGTCTGACAATAATGTAAGAAGTATCAGACAATCTGTTAGACATGACAAACGCATTGTTGTAGAGAGATACATGATATCAAATGGGTGATTGTCTAATTGCTTCCTGAAATAAAAGGGGACAGTTAGCATCATCCATGTTTGTTCATATAAAACAGGCTATTGTTATTAGTAATAAATTGATTCCGTCACTGAATCTTGTAGCAATGCAATATTTATGCTGCAGGCTGCTTTCAACTTATCACTTCTGTGCGTTTTAAGACCTATAGACCTAAAGTACCATCTCACCCTGACAGGGTGAACTAGGTCATAAGGACTCCTATGAGTTTGACACTCCTGTGATCATGCAAGTGTGAATCAGCCAGTGGCTTGGCAGATCCTAAGAAAGGTGTTCCAACATCAGTTACTTAAAATCTGTGCAGCGGTGATCCCCCTGAAACTCTTAGTTTCATCACTGAGGATGGCATCTCCTTGAAAATACAGTTCCATGTTTTTCCCTCGCCTATGGGATACTTTTACAGCTATATTCAACTGTTGCCATAATTGGTGCTTAAAACTCAACATTACAAAAGTAATTTTCTATGTTTTTTGTAGTCCTGATGCCATCTGTAGTATGAGAGCGCTAACTGTCTCCCTTAACGAATTCCTATTAACATTATCCACATACAGTATCTTGGAATTATTGTTGATAGCTTTCTGACTTGCAGTGACCATTTAACAGAACCAGCTACCAAAAACAACACAACCAAATCTGTCTTTATGTAAGCTCTTTGGAAATATGCCTTTTCTCTTCTACTCTACCCATGCTCTGTATCTTCATTTGCAATCTTCCATCTCACCTCAAAGTCTGGTACCTATAGCCACTGATGTGAAGAAGCCGATTTCTCAGCAGCAGCTTGATGCCAGACAAACTGCTTAGGTTAGCTGATCACCTCCACGTCAAAAAAGGGCAGTGAGATCCTGTCTTCTACATTCATTTTTCAAAGAGTTGCAGCTGTCGAGGCTGTAGACTTTCATTCCCATCACAGAAGATGGCTATGTCTATGTCTTGTTTATCGACTCCTACTAGCTTTGGAAGAGAGTTTGAACCCGGTCATCATGAATGCCATGTTTGCTAGCAATGATAACTAACAAGGAAAAATAATGTCTCTGCACAGTTGGTTTCTAATGATTAGAATAAAAGTATTCCAAATAGGACCAACGGGGGAAAAAGAAAGCAAGCTTGTTTATAAATGGAATATGATGCATTTACGAAGTTGTATAATATGATGTGACTCCACAAATTCATCAAGTGTCATAGCAGTTATCCTACAAGTGAAAAGTTGACATTGATACACAAATGATACTTAACTGCAAAAACACACATGGCAGTTTTTTTATGTGAGGGCAAAGAGAAATCAATTTTAAAATTACAAGAATTACTAGAGATGTATCCTAGAGGGAACAAAAAAAGTATAGTACACTTAGTAACTAGATTGTTGATAAAAATCTTCAGGGGAAAAAAAATATAGTGATACTTAAGGCTTGCTTACACATGCAAAGAATTCTGCCACCTGTTTCTCTCTCACATCTATTCCTGTAAGGATCAGTTTCTTGTGTTGCATGAGCGCTCTTCTTCTACACCCCTCCTGCCAGAATAGAGGGTCAGACACCCCCCCCCCTTTTTTTTTCTCTGCCCTGCGTCGTTTTCCACAGAATAACATCATTGATGTTGCAATCAATGGAGAGCACTCACACACCTCCTCTCCTACATCCAACCGCGATGGAATGTTCTTCCAACCTCATCCTGGGACATCTCACAGCCACCTCCTGTTGCCACAGTGGAGGGAGTCCTCCTTCCTAGGCCTAATGGGCAACTATCTCTAAAAATGATTGTAAACTCACAAAAATTCTCAAGACTTTTTGCTCCTTTTTTTAAATTTTCAGTTATCCTAGATGTGATACATTTACACCAGTTCCTTAACCTCTTAGTGGTTATGAATCCCTTTATGTTATCATAAGAGTGGAGACAGCTGAGCTCTTACAGAATATTATCAGAGATTAGGAGGGGTTTGGTTTGGTTTACAGAGATTAGATCATTAAATTTTATTCTAATTCTCTTAAATAGAACTTAGAATAGCCTTCCTGCTTAGTCCCAGCACTAGAAAAAAGTTCTTTTACAAGCTTTATTTTGTGAGAAACTAAAGTAACATAACTCTTATTATTCATTTTAGGAATAGACTGAGTACTTGGACAAGACTGCTACTTCTAATCTCTGTACTGTCACCTGAAGTTATATTGCTTTGTGCTCATTATTACAATCAGGCTTATATCAGATAACTTAGAAGCTAAAGTCTTTCAATACTTTTTTTTTTTTTTTTAAAAAGAGGCCCCAAGTCTGAAACTTGTTTCTGACTGAAAAAAACAAAAAAAAACAAACAAAAAAAACCCCAAAAGCCATAAAACAATTCCTACAAATTATGCTACTGTAACTTGAGTTCAGTAGTACAATTAACACAATGGGCACATAAATTCCTGTACAAACAAGAAATTGAGTGTAAGTTTTACTAGCTTTACGCATATCTTAGCAATTATTAAAATACCTTTTTTCCATCCACATTTGAAAAAAAAAAAAAAAGTGAGACCAATTTTTTAGTTTCAACTGATCAGAAATGTACAGTGTCAGTTAAGTAATTTTGCACCACAACTCATTTGCGGTCAATATCTATGAAGGTGCTTCCAAAAAAATATTTTGCTGTAATAGTCAAACACTTGAAAGCCTCTACCTGTTACGTGTGAACAAGTTTGTGGCCAATTTGTGACAAAGGGAATAAAATATCAAAATAGCTTTATTTCTCCTCCTGTCCATTTTCACTAGGAAAATCATAATCATTTCATTTTAATATAAATCCATGATTACACATTATAGAAGGCAATCTAGATAAATAATAGCTTTACAGTAAATTCAAAGTTTCTGAATAAATCAAAAAATCTCTTATTATTATTAAGAACAACGATATGAAATTCTTGCCATTCAAGAAATAATTACATTGACTCAGCTAATGCTTCTCCTGACTGTTAGGTATACAGTAATTTAACCAGTAGTGCAAGTATTGCTCCAGGAGTTTTCCTGCACAGAAAAGAACGATGATAATCCACAAGTTTGGAGGATGACAGACTTCTCGCCACTTAACTTTTTATAGATATGTCTCCTAGACCTTTTTATGCTTTGTTTCAAATGTAGAAATTTAGCATCTCATTTAATATAGGGGCCTAAATTGTCATGGAAAGTTGGATAACAATTTCAGCTGCACAGCAGTATTCTAGATACAAACACTTAAGTGAAAATACAGATCCAGTGAGGCAGCCGGATCAAAAGCAGTTTATTCAGCAGCGACACACTCCTGACCCCCCCCCCCCCCTTCTTGTTTGAGGACACCTTATGGTTACAGAACACAGAATGGCCACTTGTTTTTCAGTTGTATTATTTCCTCAGAGTTATATACATTTCTGTACAGTTTCAGTAGAAATTTAATTAGGATGGTGGGGGTTAAGACTTAGTATAATGATGTACACCTTAGGATTGTAAAACGGGTTTAATTTCAGATCATGTTCTCCCTTTCTGCTTTTCCTTGAATCTCCTCCAGCATAAGGGATCTTATTTTTCCCTTCTGAGACATTAAAACAAACAAACAAACAAACGAAGCATGAAAACCATCACTCCTCCCATTCCACTAGAAACTAAACTCTTATGTCTATCGTATGTTTTCTAACATAAGGAGTTCTTTATTTTCTTGCTATTCTTTCTCCCTTCCCTACTTTTTTCTTTTTGTAGCTATGAAAAGATAAACAGATCCAATGTCTGTCAAATTCTCAAACTTTTGAGAGTTGAGCAAAATGTAGCAAAACAAAACAGCTCAATTTTCACTGCTGTACAGCATAAGCATTAATTTTCCATTAGCCCCTCTTTACATGTTTGTGTCTCATCTCTGCATAATTCCTCATTCAGGAGAAGCTGCCTTTGCCATTTGAAGAGTCAAAGTGTCAAGTGTAACACTTTGCTGACATGTGCAATTAACCCAAGGCCAACTAGAGACAGGGAAGATGCAGAAAGTAACAGCCAAGAGAAATCACCTAGAATGCAATGAAGCTGGATCTTTCACTACGCAAGGGTTACATTTTTTGATTGTTCATTAAGTCTTATTTCTGATGTACCCACTTTCTCTAAACTTAAAAGGCCTGTCCTTCCTAACCAAAAAAATACTTGTTCTATGTACTCTGCACTCCCCATCTGTTACTTCCCCAAAAGGACAAATACTACCTTCATAGATCCTTCCAAACCCTGTGGACAAGCGTGAAGCAGACGATCATTTAATACTGATGAATGCAATTTTCTTCATGGCCTAGATACAGCATCTGGCACCTTCGAGATACATTTCAGAATTAAAACGCTTACATAGTTCCTGAAGGTGCTCTGCAGTTCACCAGCTGCCTACACACAAACACTCCAGCTATAGACTGTGAAAGTGCCATCATTCCAGTTTAAAGAAAAATGTGGCCTACAACTTGCTACACTGCTTTGAAAATGTTCCTGCTCTGCAGTGTTAAGTTTTCAAATATGAAAAAGATTGGAAAGCATCACATTTACAAAGCACTATTTTAAAATCAGAAATGTTCAGTGATTCAGTAGGATAGTACGTTTCATTAAACTTCACCCAAGTGGGTTTTTTTGTTGTTAAATGCTTCTAACAGAACTCTGGCACTGAAGTGAATCTCCTAATTTGGTCAAGCTGACCTAGGAATTCTGTGCCAAGATTATTAGGTCGGGATGTTGTCCAAATAAATTTAAGGACACAACTTCTGCCTACATTTTAGGTATTTAGTAAAAAGAGCTCTCCTAAAGTGAGCTTGTCCAGAGAGGTGCATCTAATGACACTTTGGTTTAAATTAAATTAGTGTCGTGTACAGTCATTTCAAGAACCTGTCCAGGTAGGATTAAGCAACAAATCTCTCAGTTATCCACATACAAAATGATGAGACTATACAAAATCCCTCCTCACAGTCATAATAAACCCATAAATTGACAAACACTTAGAAAAAGTTCAGACAGTTACAATTCCCGTGATTGTAGTATCCAGATTAACAAGACTTTTCAGGGTGCATCAGAAAGCAAATCAGAAGTATCATGCAAGGCTATTAAGTATGTATCACTAAATAATTACTTTCTTTCTAATTAAGCTACCAGTTTTGTTATAGCCCTCTCTTTTCCATCACCTAAAACAAACAAACAAACAAACAACTGTATTTTAATCCTTGAAGATTTAAAGTTCATGACACAGAGAACAGCTTCCTCTTATTTGACTGTAGCAAGCCTATCACGAGAGTAGCAGCAGTACTTAGTGCAGGCCTGACTGCTACTCTAGCTAGCAATATAGGTTTTTTTTGTATTCAGTCTTAAAAACTGAAGAAGTGTAAAGAGGCTTGGCTTTTTTCTTTTTTAAATAAAAAAAGAAAGGCAACCGGAGATTTCTTCCCAAGGAATAAAAAGAACGCTAGGTCAGGCAGCAGTCATTTATTTATTGACTTAAACAAGCAAAAGTATCCTCAGACATAATGGCCACCACTTGAGCAATACAAATCAATGCTACTGAAGAACAGGGAACATCTTTTCTCTCATCCCTCCCACCCCAGAAGTAACAATAGAAATACCCAGGGTCCCTAGAGAAAAGAGTAAGGAGGAGAAAAATTATCAAAGGCGCTTAGAATGAGCTGGAGATTTGAAACATAGATACTAAAAATCCTTAGCTGATTCACCATATTGCCACAATCACCTCAAAAATAACTTTCATTGTTCCATCTCTACCGAGTACCAAATATATAGTGCTGTTTAACAGCAATTTCAATATATTAACAACTGTCCTCAGCTGAAGCAGAACAGCAATTACTAGTTTATAATAAATTGGAGGCTTCAGATAGAAACAACCATTTCCACAGAGTAGGATCCAAGTCTGCTCTAGTTAATGAAAAGGGAGTGGGGGAGAAACAAAGCTGCTCGTAATAATTACTGTACATCTGTAGCAATCAAGCCATTCATTCTGTGTTGATATCTCACTGTAGACACAATATTCTGATAACACTATGGCAACTCTACTCGCCCTGTGACAGATTATCTGAAGAAATTATTCATAAGTGCCTTAACTTGTGGGCCACTGAAAATCCCAACCTGCTACTCCTATGTGGTATTTTTTAAATCAGAGGTCAGCAACAAAGCAAACAGACTGCATGCAAAACACAACATTTGCTAAATCACTTAGTTTTCCTTGTAATAGTTGAAAATATGAGTAAGGCATTCCTCAGATTTAGAGAAAACATTAGGAGGCTGTAGTTTTGCAGGCAAGGAGACCTTTTATTTTAATCCATTAAAAGAACCCAAAATAGTCAGCAGGTGGCCACATCTATCCATGTTTCATTAAAATCACATAAACCCTAAGTACAAAAGCACCACTGATTATTGCTCTAGAAAAACTGCATGAAAAATTCAAATACGCACAGTAAAAACATCACCATATGCACAAGACTTAATTTCTTAAAGCAAGTGTATGGAATGCTGATCCAATTTTACACATACCTTGCAATATTAATTTGATATTTATATTACTTGGCAACAATGGGAATTTCTAAAAGCACTGTTATGAGAAGGGAAATGTTCATATACAGTTTAATATGTCAACTATCATAGTCCTAAAAAAATTAGCATTTACAAAATACTTGATAAAAATATCTTTTAAAAGTTGTCCGAGAGGTACATAAAATCAACCCAAAATTTTCATGATCATTCATTCATTCTTGTCACCTACAGTTTCAGTTTTCTGAGCCTGTGAAGAGGAAAGAAAAAATTTAATTACTATAGTAAATTGCTATTAGGCATACAAATACCCATACTACCCTTACTCCTTTGATTCTTTATTTGTAACAGCTCAGTTTCAAACCTATGTCAATATTACATTTACACAAAACAGGTACATACACACAATTTTCATAAGTTATTGGTCCCAGCTTTTCAAAAGCAATACAAGCCTTACCTGTCAGCTTCCATTGTTCATACTGAAAAGCACCACACTACTATCTGTTTCTATTCACTGCACACATGCAGAATGCTCTACCGTACCCTTAACTTTCACTGTTTCAATCTGCCCTTTTACTGACAGTGTGCTGGGTGGGGCACCTCTGGATGTTGAAACACTAACAGTTGAGCGAGAGATGCGAATCTGCAATAACATTATGGGCAATAAAAAGAAACATTATGAACATGCTATCAATGTCTGAAAGGCTGAATAATTAAAAAAAAACACTGATTCAATCAGCAGGAGGTATGTGTGGAAAGTACCTCTTCAGCTTTATTTTCACCATTTTCAGATGGTGTAGTACCTTCCTTTGCAGCTTCTTGCTTTTCATCCTTCTTCCCTTTAGCACCTTTGTTGGCCTTTGTTCCAGGTTCCTTCTGACAGGAGATTAAAAACATGGGCATAGCCTGTATGAGTAGCCAGCATCCTTCATCTTTATAAATTAAAATGCAAATCTTAGCAAGCGACGTGTGCTGGACTAGCACAGAAATTCACCTAAGACTACCTGGAAAATTTCAATCTGCAAAAGTTTTACAGACTGTCAAAATTTCCAGAAAATGCTGATGCGTGCTTCTTCATTGTTTCTGCCAATTTACAAGGATACAAAAATAACCCTCAAACTATTTTGATAAACTGATTAAAAACAGAGGTATATAACAAGGTATCTATATGAACAAAAACAATTACAGTAAAAAAGCTTATTCAGCCCAGTACAAAGAACACACTACTTGTGTGGCAGCACTACACTTTTGATTAAAAAGAAATACTGAATTAGATTTTTAAAATTAAGCATTTTTGTTAGCTGTCCTTTTCTTCGCTTGATAACATCTGTGATGTTCATTTCACGTCAATGAAAAACAACCAACATATCAGGGAGGCAAGCACTAATACAATTCCATCTGCAGCAACAGAAAGCAGAGAATTTATGAAAAGGAACTATTATGCCATCTACAATTTCATTTGGAGAGTTGCCCTTAAACAAACAATACAACTCACATGCTGAAGTCTAGTATTTTTACATCGCTGCAACAAATGGATGTATTTAGGTTTGTGATCTAAAAGTATTCACTGATTAGTAGAACAACAGGTTACGGATTTTAAGTCTTACACGTTAAAAATGTAAACTGCACTTGTCTGAAAATTTTACGTTGGTATTTAACGTAGTGGAGATGTTCCAGGCAATCATTTGCTCAAAGTTCGCCAGGCAAAATGGCAACAATAGCTGTGACCGGGAATACGAAGGTCTATCTCCCTTTGAATCCTCTGACAACTAGCTTTCCCTGAGCAGGAGGCGGCGGTGAGGGGCAGGGGTGTCAACCCTAGCTACAAGGCAGTCTGAATTACTCCTCGCACTCTTGGTGTGTAATGTGAAAGCTGAACTCCAGCGTGTAACTGAGATGCTTATTGTTGGTTTGAGTATAGTCCTAACTCTTCACATAGGAAAGAGCAAGTTCAGGATTTGACTTAGTAAAACTAATTTGCAAGCTCTGAACGCTAAAAATAAACAACCAAAGATAGCGCAGGTTTGGGATCGTTAGCAGGTTCACAGTACATGCACACTTTCTGATTTTTGTTAGGAGATCAAGATTAATATACTCCTTAAAAGGCAATCCAGGATTATTGTATTAAAGAGTTACTTAGAATTATGTCATAGAAGATTCCACATGCCTGAAATAAGCCTCAAATGTCTCTCATGCAACTTAGACTCCGTTAACACCCAACTCATTTTACTTGTACTGAAAGTTATAGGATCTACCACATTCCATTCCTTATTATTACTCTTTTTAAAAGAGGAGTAGGTTTGTTACACTGTTTCCACAAATTAAATTAGCCATAAAAAGATAACTCATGAAATCTTGCTGAATTTTATCAACTGCATTGTTGAATAGAGTGTTCCACGTCACAGAGTTTACACGTTCATACGTGAACCTCGAAGCCTGATACTTGCCCAACTGAGATACCAGAACAAGGACTTGAAAAATGCGTGAAGAGGGCTAGACTCAGTTTCCTCCAGTATGTTTTTTTCTGATAAAGCATTTGTTCTTACTGAGCATTCCCCTTGGGCTGAAGTAAATCTACATTTTCTGAAGTATGTGATTTATATGCAGAAATCCTGAAAAGGTATTTCAGACACTAATAAGATTTTAATTTGACTGTAACTGGCCTAGTAAACCAAAACCATCAAATATCTAATTTCACCTTTAATTATAATTGTGCATTCTCAGCAATGGCCAGACTTCAAAAACAGGTAAGATCCTCTCACTGTTAAATGAAGTACCGTCCCTCTAGTCAAGCAAGCAGGATGGCATGGAATAATCTCAAATCCTATTTGCTAAGTCCCAGGTAGAGCTAACTCAAGCAAACCTGTAAATTTCAAGAAAGGTGTGGGAAAGGGGAAGATTCTTCCTAAACTAGGTATTCACTACAAACTAAGATAGTCTGCATATCCAACAGGCAAGGCATTTTGTTTGGCCAGTAATGAGGCCACGAAGGGGTAGAGCAGAAGACTGGTCCAATTTGTCTTTTTTTTTTTTTGTCCTTTTTCATGGTTAGGGGTGAAGCGGGGAGAGAGCTGATGCATCAGAAATACTCTACGTGAACTGAATTGTTTGCAATGCAAAGAGAAATTATAGTCTGGTTATAGGGATGGCAGGTCAAAAGAAGAATATTTACCTTAGTGGTTTTCCTTGGTTTAGGTTCAGGTTTTGGTGGAGCAGGTTTCTATAAAACATTTTTTGTTGCATGATATATTAAATATATTACCAGTAGCCAGCCACCAGCCTCAACACAACAGCTTCCACCCACCCCACATCACTTTCCCTTACTTCCTACTAATTAGTATGCACACACAAAAAAAAAAAAAAAAGACCAAAACCCTCAATGCACAAGCACACCTCCTCACTGTACATGCACCCATTTTTACTAGCCCATTTATCTAGGAGTCAAAGTAATTTGGGGGTCATTTTAAGAGTCAAACATGAGATGAGAAGGAACTATAAAAAAAAAAAAAGCCTGTCAGATAGAGACCTTTGCTATATGAAAGTGCTCACATTTTTTCCATATTGCTACATCTTTGAAAGGCTCTTCCACTTTCTGAAGGGTTATTTGCTTTATACGTCTACACACATACACTTTGAGCAAATATACTATAAAAGATTTAGCATCTGTTTGTTCTCATGTCCAAATCTAATAAAGAAGAGAAACTAAAACCAAATACTAGTAGCTGCATCAATCAAGCCCTTGAAGGATAGCTCTTACTCTTTCACAGAGACATAAGCCACATCTCCACAACCTGCAAAGGTACTAAGTCAATACTATGTGTAACCAGACAGAGTGCTGCACTGAAACACAGAAACGCATCTTTTCATTAAAATAACCTCCAGAAACCAATAGATTAAAAAACTCTAAAGATGACTGTAAATGCCCTTCGGCAAGGAAAAAAAAAAAAGAATCAAGCAAAATGTAACAAACCTGTTTGGTCTGAGAAAGCAGGTGCCTAGAAAAGTACACACAAAGAGGTGTTACACATACTTACAGCTGACAATCTTGCTGATCGTCTTGTGGGCTACAGAAAAAGAAAAAAAGACGACATATTTACAGGCTTATAGCAAATCCTACCTAAGCCCAGATAATATCAATCATTTCATGGTGACAAAGTAAATAAAATATACCCTACCCTAAAATATCTATCTATTGCCAAACACAACTCAGGGCCTCCTCATTTTGGACCATCACAATTTTAAAGGGACAAAGTGATGTGGAAATCAGTAATGAAAACGGTTCACAAATTGTAATGCCTAAATCCACTCTCAAATCTATCAGTGCTCGTAGTTGTAAAATACTATTTTAGTACCTCTTTTACAAGTACTTCTGAGTCCCTTGCTGCTCTACGAAAGGTTCACCAATACAGCAAGTTTAACTACATGTACATAGGACACAGTGACTCTTAGTCAAAAGCAAACAAAATACTTAAAATGATGTATAGCTAATCTATCAGATGTTATTTTTAATAGCAGGTAAAGATATTTTCTGATAAAAAGAAAATTAAAATAATAAAAAGAAATATCCTTTCATGGAGGAGATCAGAGGGCTAACATGTCAAAGCATGAAACTCAGGATCCACAGTGCCCCTCCCACCCCACAACTGAATCTGACACTCCATTTGTATAAAGACAGCTACAGGACCAGAAGGAAAGTGATTTTTTTATTTAAAGACAATCATAAAAAGAAAAGAAGAAAGTCCAATATTCTGCCTTTCCTCCACCTCTTCTCTTCATTACCTCAACATGCCTTCCTAATTACATTTTGTTTCACTTTGCTCTTTTTCTTAAATCGATTAGTGAAGATGAGCAAGTACAGAAATAGTTGTAAACTCATTAATTTGTTCACAGCATTTTTGTACTTACTAAAGCAGATGAGTCCATGATGCACATACACAGCACAGTTATCAAACAGTTCAAATTTGGTCTACATCATAAAATTGGAATCACATTTCTAATCAAAATAAAGTACAACTTAACTGCAACAAATATCCAACACAACACAGCTTAAAAAGTGAAACAAAACCATGTTTTTAATTATGCATTCAGCATTTAAGGTGGGCTAAAAAAAACAAACATGGCCCCACATATCTCTTGCAATAGAGAAAAGCTGTTGTTAATATCTGAAGAACACAGTTAGTTGTATTTTTTGGAGCCATATAAGTATTTTTAGGGGAAGCAGTAGGGAGTAGTTCATATTTGGGTCCAGCAAAATACAAGTCATGTCAAAGAACACCTAAAGATATTTTCAACTATCAAATATTTATGGATCATTAACAACAACAACAACAAAAAAAGTAAACCTCTCTTTTCTTGGCAATTTAGAATATCGACTGTTTGTTAAGCGGCCTCACACTAATTAAAAAAAAAAAAAATTAAATACAGTATGTAACTTGGTCTGGTAACCAAAGAACTCCTAGCTCAAGGCATCTTCTTTTACAAGTCTGTTCTCTTAAATGAAGGTTTTTATCCCAGAAGCTTTGGGTGCTAACTTGCAAGGTTTTAACACCCCTTTTTACAGGATAATATCTCATCTTTGATGCAAATTGTAATCCCCTCCCCAGCACTCTTCTTACTGCATAGTTGATTTCATGTAAGATTTGCACTGCCTAAGAAATTCGGCATAACTCCCCCAGTGCTTTAAAAATCCCTGAAGGTAAATAATTTTAATTCTCATTCAGGGTTTGTATGTATGTTGTCTTATCCAATTATGAGGATGGAACTACAGCTAAGTGAACAAAGGTCACGTTTCCAAGTACTTTTGAAACAAGCCAAAGCTCCTTCCACCTCCAAACAGTTGTACAAAGCCAGAAACACCTAGCTCACCCA